CTTGTGGACGGCTAGATCCGGGCTGACGCCTGGCATCTCCTCCACTTCAAAGGCGAATATGTCTTTGAACTCTCTTAGAAGTTGGAGCAGGTCCGCTCCCAACTTTTCAAAAGCAACCGTCCCAACTTTGACGATTCTGTCAGGGCGGCTATCGTCCAGGACGACATCAATGCTCTCACCAGCCGGCTAGGGTCGGGAGTCATCCGGCCTTTCCCTAGCCAATGATTGCTATTTTGTTTTTCTAGCGGGGGCCAATTGGTCCGCCTTTCGCTTTTTGCTGGCTGCCTTGGGAGCAGGCGCGACTTCCTTGTCATCGAGGTCAATGGGTTCCTCGTTATGACCGGCTGCCGTAGCCGTCAGCCTGACGTCTGAGAGGTAGCACTCCCTAGCCGTCTTTTGATCCCCGTTCAGGGCACCCACTGACCCGTCATCCCTCTCAAACTTAATCAGCATAAGAGATGGGATGATGACTGCCTTAGGCTCGTTGAGGGTGGGACGACCCAGAATAAGGTTGTAGGCGGTCAATTCCTCGACCACCAAAAACTTGACGACCATGTGCCGCCCTTCCCCCTTGTCCCCTAGCCGGATGGGTAGGTCAATCCTCCAAACTGAATGCACTACCCCTACCCCAAAGCCGACTAGGGGGTGAGGAGCCTTGTGCATACTGCTAGGCTTGTACTTGAGCTTCGTCAAGCACTGGTAGCTGATCAGGTCAGACGAGCTCCCGGTATCAATTAAAATCCGGCCAACTCGTTGATTGGCAACTTTGCATTCGATGACAATGGGGTCATCATGCGGCCGCCTGACCATGCCCCGATCCTTCTCAGAGATGAAGACCTCAGGGAAGGTGTCTTTCGACGCCTAGCCCTCATCCTCTAGGTTGGACAGCTTTCGGATGTTATCCTTGGTGCCCCGGATGGTAGGACCTCCGCTTGCGAAGCCGCCTGCTATGGTGAAGATGTGCTCTTCATCAGTTTCAGAGCTCGCAGCCGGCTTTTTGGACGGTTGTCCACCACTTGATTTGGGGTTGCCCTTGAACTTCACCAGGTAGGATTTCAAATCCCCCTCGTCAGCCAGACGGTTCAATAGCCGCCTGAGGCTATTTCAACCATTGGTGTCGTGGCCGACATCCTCATGGAACTGACAATATTTGCTCTTGTCTCTGTTCTTGACAGAGCTCTTCATTGCAGCCGGTTTCTCAATTGCCAACCGGTCTTTTATCTCCATGAGGATGGAGGAGCAATTTTTGTTGAACTCGTACTTGGGGACGTACGGTTCCAACTTTCTTTGTTTCTTCTGGGACGGCTGACCAGTGCAGTCTGCTACCCAGACTTCTTTTCTTTTCTTCCTTTTAGGCCGGCTGGGTAGGTCGGTTGTCTCTCTTTTCGAACTGCTTGGGTTCCGACGAGTGCTTGACGGCGCAGAGTTTCGTCGCCTGTATATAGGCCTCAGCCTCCATCAGCGCCTCCTAGAGGATAGCTACCCTCTTGCGGACCAAGTCAAATTAGAAAGTTGACCCATCCTTCAGACCCTTGAAGAAGTCTGTATATGCAACTTCGTCAGACAGCCCCTGAATCTGAATTCTCATCAGATTGAACCGCCTGACATAGGACCGAAGTCCCTCCTTGTCACCCTATTGTATAGCCCCTAGGTCGAGACTTGTCTTTTTGGCAAGGATGTTCATGGAGAAGTTGGACTCAAACAGGTATGCAAGCGTCTTGAAATTATTGATGCACCCGGCCGGCAGGTTGCCAAACCATCGTTGGGATATGCCCTTCAACGTAGCCGGGAAGCATCTGCACCAGGCGGCGTCATCCAACCCCTGTAGGTACATGAGGTTGGTGTATGCCATTAGGTGATCTTCCGGGTTGGTGGTACCGTCGTAGGTACCAACCAAAACATTTTTAACCTTGGCAGGCTGTGCCGCCTTGGTTATTTCTCGGGAGAAAGCTGAAGGTTGTTCCCCAAGGTTTAGCAGCCGGAGCTGCCAGTCCATAGGCTGGACTTGATACGCCGCCTGACCCCCGAAGGGAGCCGACTTCATGAATGGAGATCCATACGGGGCGTATGGCTGTTGGGGCACATACGGAGCCTGCTGGATGACGTGAGGACCAGTACGTGCGGACACGCCGCGTGATTGACTCCCTTGTTGCGTCTCCGAAAGCTTCATTGAAGCATTTTGGAAACTGTCTAGGTAGGTCGACGTGGAGGCCGATTGAGACGTGCTCTGACTTCTCTTCTCCTGGATGAACATCTAGGCGTCAGAGAAAGTCTTCTTTGACTCATCCGGCTGTGTATGCCGGATGGCCTTCCTTTGCCCTGATTCAGGGAAACGATGTTTTGAGAGGTCGATCAGGGGCCCATCCGTCCCTTTGGGTTTGGGGTGAGGAGTAGGCACCCGATCTTTGATTTGCTTCTTCCTAGAGAACTTCTTTACCGACTGACCCTTGCTTGGGCCAGTTGACTTCTTAATTATGTCCTTTATTTCCCCTTTGAAACTCGTCATGATTTTCATGAGCTCGTCTCTGGTGACGGGGGCAGCACCCTCCGCCGCCTGGGGTTGTCCAACAGGCTTGTCGCCTGAGTTGCTGGGACCAGCTTTGTCTTGGCCTCGTTCCCTTGTTTCCTCGGAACGGGTGCGCCTAGAACGAAATGACCCGTCTGGGGCCATGTAGGTTTCGACTTCGTAGTCGTTACCACTGCCACTTTCATGGTCCGTATGGACCTTAGGGTTAGCTTTAGGTCGGCTGCCCTCTGCACTCGGTACAGTGTCGGATGCCATCTCAGTAGTACTCTCCCCACAGACGGCGCCAAATGTTTCGGGTGTTTTTAGAGTCCCTCGGGAGAGTTACAATACTGAGTATGTGCGCCTGACTTCTTGTACCTACAAAACCACGAAACTCCGGTTGGGTGGAGTTCCGCCTCCGATGATCAAGTTAATATGATTTCGGATGAGTAAACGTACGGAAAGTAAGTAGGTATTTCTCACTGATTCAGAGAGATTCTGTAATTAATATTGCTCGGGATTCGTGTTTGTATTTGTGAATCCTCTATAAATGAGGTTGTTTCCTTTATTTATAGCAGGTGAGAACCTGCCCCCCCATTGGGGGTACAATGCCACGTGGCATCCTCTAATTGGATCCCTCCGGGCCTATATGAGGGTGACACGTGTCGATCCCTCATTGGGCCATGTGACAGGGGTAATTTTTACCCCAAACAAGATGTACTGGCCTCTGGACGCCTGTACCTACAAAACAACGGAGACTCCTGTGGGTGGGAGTTCTGCCTCCGACGATCAAGTTAGAACGTGTTCGGATGTAAAAAAGTGCAGAATGTAGATGGGATCAGGCTCCTCTTAGGAGAGAAGTGATCATCCCATTATTTGAGATAACCTCGAAATCCAAGCCTTAGCTCTCAAGTAGTGCAATTAAAGCTGGAGTTAATGCTCAGCAATTATTGTACACATGTGTTTAATAATTTCTGAATGATGTTCCTTAGGGGGAACATCTCCCTTTTATAGGGTCTCGTAATGCGTGCCCAGTACTAGGTTTCAAAAACCTTGGACTGACTAGGCTTGCCTAGGTATTTGGGCCGTTAAAGGCCACTTTCCTAGTTGGCAATCTGTCTGCCACGTGTCGTGGCCTGATTGGTCTACCTTGGACCTCTCACGAGGTGACACGTGGCAGATTATGTTTGGTCCACATGGATGACACGTGGCAGGATTTCATTGGTCCACGTGGCGGGGTTAAATCCTCTAATCATAAAGGTCTATCAAATTTTAATCTCCAGCATGTGTAAAGAGTTTTGGTGTTGACATCATATTGTAAAATAAGGAAAAATATGAGAGATTGAGAGAGAATTAATTTGTATGTATTATTCTATAAAATAGGGATATACACACACACACACACACACACACACATATATATATATATAGCTAGGGTTCTTTTAGAGAACTCAAAACCCTCAAGTATTAAGAATATAATGGGGCATCCACAAATATTTCATAACAAAATACAGTGAAATGTTAGTAGTAGTTATTGTAGTCCGTTGAAAAAAAAAAAAAAAACCAACCGACTAACATTTCACTTTGTGTTATTTTCTTTAGCGTATAATATATGTCATGCAATCCTGCATTAGCACGGGTACACAGTTCATTTATCAACAATTCATCATAATACTCAAAATTCCCAACACTTCAATTATATACATTTTTTTTTGGGACTATCCTCCAAACATTTTCCACTTCTCTAATCATCAAAACCAAAAAAATATACAACACGCTTTTTGCACGACTGGCCTCACCGAATAGCTGCTTGCAAAAGAACATAGCAACTCTTATAGTACTGAATGAATAACCCCAATGACACTAACCGAGCAACCCTTATAATACTGACGGGCAACCTCTATAGCTTTGCCAAAGTAAACCCCATAATAGATGGCCATATTGCGTGACCATCGACATATAAGAGTAAGGCCCTATTCTTTTGAGCTTCTAAGTAGAGCATAGAACATCAGATTTCTGCAGAGCATAACAGGTGTCAGCAGATTATTAATACTCACCCAGAGTAGAGTATTAATGGTGAATTCTTACATTTCTATCAATAAATTAAAAAATGAAATTGTATATTTGTCTTCTCTTAGGTTTTTTCATTTTTTAAATTTAGATTAAGTGGTTAACCATTTTTTGTTTAACTAAAGGCTATGTAAAACAATTAATGAAGGAAAAGGGAGGTATCACTAAGGAGGACCGAAAAAACAATTTACAATCTCACGCTAGAATTTGTTGATAGCTTAATTCAAAGAAAAATCACATATTATGCTAATAAATTAATAACTTAATTTAAAGAAAAATACAAAAGTCTTATGTTAATCAACCAAAATCATAATCCATTAACTCTAAAATTTGAAAACCCTAAAATTCAAAAGCCCTAAAATTCGAAAACCCTGAAAACGAATTTATTAGAGGCGAATTACATGTTCACCTAGAGTAATTGGAGGATCGATTGTGAATTTAAAGCAAGAAGCTTGGAGGGTGTTTAGCAATGGTGAAGGAAGAAGATTAGTTAACTAGAATAACCATTGTTTAGGGGGGATTTTTTTTTTTTTTTTTTTTTTTGAGTTGTTTAAATGGTTAACTAAGGGTTAAACGTGGGTTTAGGGAAAAAATGACGTCATAAATGGTATTAAGTGAAGTCTAGTAGTAAAATCAAATTTTTAAAAATATTTTCAATAGTAACTCATAAATTTTTTAGTTCCCAATATTAATTTTTAAAATGGCATTAATATCTAGTAATACTTGGCAAATTTTCCTAAAGACTCTCTCTCTAATATATAAGAATAAATTAGGGTCATTGATCTAATGGATTCTAATCTGATCCAACCGTGCAAAATACACCCTAGTAATGACAATTTCGTAATTTTTTAAGTTGATATTCATCGTTCTTCTTCCTTTTTCCCGTATCATTTTCTCCACCCATAATTTCTCAGGTCTCTCTAATTCTGACCCTGAAATTTCGACTAAGCACTTAGAGGAAGATCAAATTGACGCTATTCATCATCAAATTGCTGTAAGTTTCGCAATTTAATCACTGAATTCCTATATTTTTCGAATTTTTTCCATAGTGATGTTCAATTTTTATTTTTTTTCAATTTTTTGTACGTTTTTCGGCTCAATTTCTTGTTATATTTATACTTTTTTCTTGCTGAATTACGGTTTTGATTGTTCTAATTGGATGATATTTCAAAACATGCTTTGTGTGTGTTCAATTGTTCTGAGTTTTGTTTATTTCCGAATTTTGTGTTTGTGATAAATTTTTCGATGATATTTTGCTTAATATTATGCGTTATATAGAGTTATTCAATCTAATGTTGTTTATCTACTTAGAATTCCATTGTTTTCGCCAATTTTAATTTGAATTTCACTTTGTATACGTTATTGCAAAATTTAGGGATTTTTTTTTTTTTTTTTTTTTTTTTTTTTTTTTTTTTTCTCTTTCTAAATTTATACAAGTAGTATAATTGTTCAAATTTAACTTGCTTGGGTTATGTTTGATGAGGAGAAAAATTTAAAGAATATAAGAATAAACATGGTGAATTTAGAAATTAGAAGAGATAATTAGAAGTTTAGAACATAAGGAGAAATACTTCCAATAACTGGAAATGGTGGGAAAAGATTATACTTGTATGATAGTATGATACTAATACCACTAAACAAAAAAAAAATTTATCACACTGATCAACTATTTCCCACTAGCCGAAAATTTTATCACACTGATCAATTATTTCCCACTAGCCGACCCCATTTATGGGATTAAGGCTCTAATTGATTGATCAACAATTTCCCACTATAAAAAAGACCCACTGTTTTCCTCTTAGTTCATAAAATTCCTCCATTGTACGAGTATGTATAATTTAGGATGTTGGTAGTGGATAGAGTAGGCAGTTTGACATGTTCAGAAAAAGATATCTTCTATTGTGATTGTGAACATCTGGAACTAAAGAAAAAAAAAAAAAAAAAAAAAAGCAGGATAAAATTGCAGGTGCAAAATGAATGTACAAGGGGTTACAGACTTGCACTTTGTTCTGGGAATGACATCGTTTCAATGAGCTAACCCAGCTGTCTGAAAGAGATGTATGCAAGCCCTGCTTCTTAAGCTGAACATGCACACTTCTATTAATTACTTTAATCAAACCTTATCAAGAAATTGCAGGTAATTAATATTCGTCCAAAAACATTAACTAACTTCATAGAGGATGCTCTTTAAGAGGCAAAGAACGAAACAGACTCGTGAAATTAACCTACTATAATTGCAACCTGAGTGTAATTTGAACTAATTCTGAAGTTTTACTCTGCATATGCATCTATTTTGACATGTTCACAATATTTAGAAGTAATAAGCATTAAGCAGATACTTGTAATTTTATAAGCTTAATTAAGAGAGTAGTAGCACATACGCCGCCTTGGCGATATTATTCTCATACACCCTGCTTCTCGCTTTACTTTCATTTCCATGATTTGCATCCATTAGAATACTTGTAAAATATAATACTGTTGACTTAGATACCAGCAACATAATTAGCCATTTTTAGAGCCTAATGGTTTTTCATTGCACAATATGGATAGTCATTGCATTTCATATGAAAGATATAATGGGAACATCCACTTTGTTATCCCTAGGGTAAGGTTTTGTGTATCTTAATCCCTTAAGAGAGAACTTTAGATTATCAAGCTTCATGGCTTTTGCTAGTGCTTTTTAGTGCTAATAGTTGCTAGGTAATTTCACGGTTTATATTTATTTGAATGTTTTTATATACGTTAGCCTACTAGCTCAACGGGTAGAGCATTGTGAAAATGCACAAAAAATGTGGGTTCAAATCCCACGTAAGTTCATTATTTGTGTAATGTGGAGACGTGGCTCTTCAGATTTTCTTTAAATTTTCCTGTTATTAAATATTAGTATAGTTGTTATATGTTTCTCCATTTATATTCCCCATCTAAACCCATTATTACTTTATAACATTAGAGGGTTATAATGTAGAATTTTCCCTTTTTTTAGATAATAGACTTGGATTTTCTATAAAAATAAATGTTATATCTGTATATTAATAAGTGTTACACTTACTTAATGCTGTCGTGTTTAGTAATTGTTACACTTCCTTTTTTGGCAAAAGGCTATATTTTATTTTTAATATTATGTGTTTCTCCTATTATATTTCCCATCTAAACCCATCATCACCTTTTTTTTATTATTACTTTCTTCTCACATCCATTACTTTTAAATAAACTATTAACTCCACTATTTTTTTACAATTTTATAATTCTCCAATTACCCCATTTACCCCTTATTTTATTTAAACTAATTAAATTGCCTAAAACTATGTTTCTCTCAAAGTGTAATACTTATTAAAAGGGGGTAAATAAAAATAAAATACAAAACCTTAAGCAAAAACGATTGAAATCCAATCTTCAAAAAATAAAATCCCCCTTTTCACTCTCATCTCTCCTACTTTCTTCCTCTGTTACTTTTTCACCCATTGAAGTGGTTTGGGGCGTTCCTCCTCCAATTGATAAGCCTTGAGGTGCGTTAATTTTTATTTTTTCTCTTCTTTTAGTTTTTACATCGATTATCAATTTTACAATCCAGAGTATAGTTTCTTACGTTCGTTATTCGTTAATGTAATTGTCAGAAGAGTCAATTTATTAATTTAATATTACAAGTTATGAAAAATTATACGTGAATTCTTGGCTGCTCTTAAAATTCTAATTTTCTAAATCAATTATCCCAACAATTAATCACCTCTAAAGCTTTGTTTTCCAATTGATGATAATGAACGCAAAATTTCAATTGCTACAAATAGACCTGGCAATTGTGTCGTGTCGTTTTCGTTTTCGTGTAGGAAATTAAACGGGTTGGGGAAGAGCAACACTAACCCGACCTATTTTATAAACGTGTCGTGTCGTGTTGACTCAATTAATTAATCATGTCGAAAACCCTTAACACTAACCCGCTTTTTTCGTGTTCCGTTCGTGTCGTGTTGAATTAAAAAATATTGGTCTTATTTAATATATTTATCAATAATTTCATAAATTATTGGATTTTTATGTTAGGCGGGTTGGGTCGTGTTAATTTCGTGTTGAGAATCTCAACATTAACTCAACCTGTTTAATTACATGTGTCGTGTCGTGTTAACCCGTTTAATTAAACGTTGAAAACCCTTGACACTAACTTGTTTTTTTCGTGTTCGGTTCGTGTCGTGTCAATTTTTGCTAGCTCTAGCTACAAATGTGCTGAACATGGTATATTCATATATTAAATTATATATCTTATAGTTAAGGCACTATTTTACTCTGTTTAAGGTTTAACAACACGAATTAGCTTTAAATTCATTTGCTGCTTAAATAATCTTAGCTGTTCAACAGGAATTTGATTTGCTTGGATTGAATTATTTAAATTATTAGTATCTCAGAATTTATCTAATACTCAATAACTGCTCAAAATTTTCTCTGATTTGGTTGAAACAGGAACTCGTCTGATAAATTAATATTTCATTAATCCATCAGATTCTAGAAGGGGCTTTTGAATGGATTTGAGCGTGAAACGACCATTTACTACTAAGACAACTACTAGTTTGGATATGTGGTTGAAACAATGTACTAATATTGTGCATAATCCGAGTGATGGCTTTTTGATCGAATCACTTGTTTACCTGATGAATTGTTGATTCACATACTCTCTTTGCTGCCTGCCAAAGATGCTGCTGTTGCACGCGTCTCCTGTAAGAGGATTTTGCGTATTTTCCCTTGGATTTCAAGCCTCGTCTTTGATAATTTTTCTACTCCTGTTTGTTTTTTTATCCCTCTATTGATCGTTACCCCATTTATCTTAAATCTGTGGATACTGTTATCCAAGCACATCGGTCTCAATATCTCACCAGGTTTAAAATTCATCTAGGGAAGGATTTTAGCTCAGCATGTTTCTGTCTGGGAAGATGTATGAGAAGAAATCATATCTGTTATCCAGACTTGAAATCCACGCAAATTAATGCGTGGATTACTTATCCATTAACCTGTATCGGCCTCAGGGAGCTTGACCTTTATATTTACACGAGGGAACAAACTCAGTTACCAGCAGCAATATTCATGTGTGAAACATTAGAGGTGTTGAAGATCGATGTCAACCTCTGTCTTGATCTAGCTTACATCATGCCATCATTTCGTCTTCCTAACTTGAAGTTACTTCACCTCTGTGTTTCTTTCATTTCCGAGGATGACTTTGTGCCTAGGCTAGTTGCTAGCTGCCCTGTACTTGAAGATCTCACCGTGGTAGCCTCATATAACCATATCCATATTGCAAATATCTCTTCACCTATTGTATTTAAAAATATACCATAGTGATACATATGACTATGATAACAGTGACATTATGCTATTCATACTCCTAACCTGGAGTATTTGAATTACTGGGATAATCTAGCATTATCTTATTCTATCCCAAAGATGGGCTCTTTTGCGGAAGCAAGTATTGACCTTGGAAATAATTTGATGAATGTTACAAAGGAAGAATCCGTTCAGCAAATACTTAACCTCATTAGACCCATGTCTATGTTCAGAAATTATCTTTGTCTGGCTCAATTGTTGAGGTTTGTTTCAAATTCTAAATTTTCTTTCCCTTCTACATTTAAAATACAATTGTATCTTCTAAAATGTGAATTTAATTGGCTGCTTGTTATGGTTGAAGGGTCTGAGCGTTGTGGAGTTAAAGGATCAACTGCCTGCGTTTCGTAGCTTGAATCATCTAGAGTTGAGTCAATATTATATGACGTATTGGGATAAATTGTTGCCGTTTCTGAATCGTTCGCTAGTCTTAGAAACACTGGTTTTTCCACAGGTCAGTGTTTTTGTACTTGGTATACTTTTACATGCATGTAATGAATGTATGCAATGGTGTAACAATATTGCTTTGATTGCTGTCTCTTTTTCAGGGATTGATTGAATCACCATCTTTTGAAATTGAAAACAATGCTTTCTATATTACAAGAGAGTTACTGGAGTTGGAACGCGAGTTTTTACAAACAACTCTTATCAATTATTCCTTCTTGTTGCAGAATCAATCTTAAAAGAGATTCTTTGGGGTAGAACGAGAGATATATTTGATCAAGTTTTTGTTGAGGCATGCATTAGTTTTGAAAGAATTGGTCATATTCCGCGCAGCTTCTCAACATTCATATGTAGATCAAACGACACTTGAAAGCACATTACAGAATTTACCAAGGGCATCAGTCGCTTGTTCAATTCAAGTAATCAAAAGTCCTACATGTAAACATTAGTCTGTAACTTATAATATAGTACTGCCATCTGTTTTATATTTTGTGCAATATTTACTAAAAATAGTTGTTATATTAGTATAATATTTCATAATAGCAGTTTTTTTTTTACTACTTTAATCATATATTTAGAAGGTCAAACTTTGAGAGGGAGTATTTATATTGAAGATAAAATGAAGATTTCCTTTTTGACAATTTTGATGTTGATAAATTTAATAATTGGATAAAATGTTTAAGAATATAGTTTATCTGAATATGATGCTGTTAAAGTTATGAATTTTGGAGGAAGTTGAATTTGATTTTGGTTGGTGTTGATTTTGATGAGTGTTGGTGATTTGTGTGAGTTTTTACGGATTGGAGAGATGGCATCAAAGAATTAAAAGATTTACTCAAAAAAAAGGAAAAAAAAAAAAAAAAAGAACTAAAGGATTATTAAATTTAGAGTCCAGGGATTTAGTTAGAGAATTTAGTATTGGCTCCTTCGAAGTTGTTATCATCATCACCTGAAGGGGTGTCTGCTCAAGCGGACAAGTCTATGCTGATGACTTTCTCGAGCTACCCCCTAGATTTAGTCAACTGCTAAACATCGCCCACAAATCTCTACATAAAATTCACAATTATTTTTACTTTGACGCTTTTGCCCTTTTTATAATTTTTATCCAACAGAAAATTCTCTCTCACGAAAAATGTGGAGCAGGACTAGATCGCCGAGGGACACCGGAGAGCCGTCATCGTCGTCGGAAAACGAGGTACTTTGCGGTAAACAATTACGAATTGTGGCGATGGCGTTTGGCCTGACCGCCGCCACCGTGGCGGCGTCCTGGCCAAACGCCATCGCCACAATTCGTAATTTTTTTATTTTATTTTAAGTTTATTAAAGTTTTTTTTTATTTTTTTTGGTTTTTTAACTTTGATAACTTTGAAATTAAATATGTGTTAATAATAATTCCAAAAAAAAAATTATATTTTAATTTTGTATGGGTAAATTTATGATTTAAATATGTGTTAATAATTTCAAAAAAAAAAAAAACAAATATTTTAAATATGTGTTATTAAAATTATGTTTTAATTTTGTATGTGTAAATTAAATATGTGTTAATAATTTCAAAATAAAAATAAAATTATGTTTTAATTTTGTATGTGTATGAATACTTAGATACATAATTATGTGTGAATTTTGTTAACTATGTGTAAATTTAAAAATTAAATGTATTATGTGTTAAATATAGAAATGAAATTTACAAATAAAAAATTTAGAAATTACTTATGTGTTAAATGTATTAATTTAATATTTATATAATTATATGTATTTAATAATAATATGTCATTGTTGCAGGATTTGGTGGAGACGGAAATGATTACAATGGGATTTTTGTACATGATGGTCCCTTCGAAGATGCTCAACAAGCGATTGATTGGGCAAAACAGGTTGCAATTAGATCTAGTTTTTGTTTAGTAGTAGAAACTCATAAATCTCAACAGGATGGTAGAACGGATCGCATTGTGAGATGCGATCGTTAACGCAAAAAGGAGGAACGAGATTTCAGTACAGCGATTCGGTTTGATACAAAGCGGAAAGGTTGTGGGTGTGAGTTTAGAGTAAAAGTTCGACAACACCAAAGTCGTGACGGTTGGGAAGTGAAGGGTTACTCTAAATGGGGGTATCGTAACCATGAGATGATAGTATATGAAGTGGGTCATCGACAGTTAAGCGGCCTAAGTCCTGCTGCAAAACTAGTTATCCGAGAAATGAGTGATGCTCAAGTGAAGCCTGCTAAAATATTAGCATCTGTGTTAGAGAAATTTCCTGAAGCCCAGCCAAACCGAAGACACATCTACAATGTCAGACAAAAACTGAGGTTTGAACGGTCGAAGGGAAGGAACCCTATACAACAGCTTCTACACCAGGCACAAGGACGTGGTTACCTGTTCTGGTTTAATTCTGATGAAGAGACATTGGAGGTGACTCATTTATTCCTTATGCATCCTGATTGTGCTGATATGATCAAGTCTTAGCCATCTGTGATTTTTATCGATTCAACATACAAAGACAAACAAGTACAAGTTCCCACTGGTTGAGATGATTGGGATGGCTCCAACGAACTAGAACTTTCTGATTGGTTATGCAGTCATCAAGGATGAGACGGCTGCGAGTTATTATTGGGTGTTGGAGAAGTTGAGAAACTACATCGGCCTAATGTTCAGCCATAAGCCATCGTTAGTGATTGTGAGGGAGGTCTCTTTGCCCCTATAGCAGAGCTGTTTCCAGAATCGAAGCATTTACTGTGCACATGGCACATCAACAACTGTGTGAAAGTCAAAGCCTACAACTTTTTCAACAAGAATTTAGATTCAGCAGAGAGATTGGTAAATGGTAAGTGGCGGAAGATCCTGCAAGCTACCACAGAGGCAGAGTACGATTAAGCCTTCGATAACTTCAAGGATGCATACCAATGATGTCCGGCAGTGGTAAACTATGTGATGCAGCAGTGGATACCTCACAGGGAAAAGTTTGTCAAATATTGGACAAACCAAGTTCTTCATTTTGGAAACACTACAACATGTAGAGTTGAGAGCGCTCATAGAGCTTTGAAGGACTGGATTGATTCTTCCACCTCTGCTCTGGATACACTGTTCGAGAGAATAAACAAGGCTATTGATACTCAGAAGAACAGCATCAAGAACTCTCTCGAGGACTCTAGACGGCGACATGGTATGATGTATTACCATTTCATATTTAAGATTCTCCATAGTCGTGTGTCACACTACTGCTTGGGGTTGATTCTGAGCGAGCACAACAGGATGAAGGAGTTGGTGATGAAGTGGCTATTCGGTGCGGATGTGCTATATCAGTGACTCATGGACTAGCTTGTGCATGCACCATTCATCGCGTAATTACCCAAGATAGGGCGTCGTTACATGTTGATCAGGTTCATCTATTCTGGCGGACGCTCGTTATTGAGAGCATGCTGCTCCACAGACGGTCGACCGTGAACAGGAGGAGTTGGAGCAGTTTCGTTCGATGTTTGACCGAGTGTCCTCCAGTCACCCTTCAATCATTCGTGATGCTACCCACGTACTTCATGACATGTTCAACACGTCATGCTTGGATCACGAGGAACCTAAAGGGGTCGAGCGACCTAGAGGTCGATAAGCACGGCGGAACAAGAGTGCGTTTGAGTACATTCGGGGTCGTGGTCGCGGCCGTGGTCGTTCATCGCCATCCACTCGTAGCCAATCTTCTTCGTCGGTGAATATGCCCGGAACCGGTGCAGTACTTTACTTTAATTTACTTTTTAGAATGTTTGTTTAGTTTACCGCTGACTTGTTAATTGTGTTTATTGATATGTGCAACAGGAAGAGTGGATATTGATCAGTTTCCATATAAGGACAGGATCCCTAACATCATCATAGAATACTTGGACGGGTGGAATGATGTGGTTGCAGATGGTAATTGCGGATTCAAGGTCGCGGCTGATGTGTTTCAGATGGGTGAAGACAACTACGCTTTAGTGCGTCAGTTGATGTACAGTGAAATTGGCTCAAATCGAGATGTTTATCGTCATGTGTACGGACAAGACTTGGATAGATCTCTGCGGTGTATCTGGTGGGGAGGAGGACCTTGCGGTCAAAATCATTGGTTCGACGCGCCACTTGATCTCTTTACCGTTTCAAACATTTACAAGTGTGCAGTCATGCATTTCGGGCTTGGTTTGCATAATTGAGCTTATTTTCCATGTACCACGGTTCTCCCTTGGTGTTCGCATGCGACCGTCACCAGACCGGTAAGAGAGTTAGTTATTGCATTTCTGGGGTCGTCATACAGACATTTCATCCGATTGGACCTGTCATCTGATTTTCCGGTGCCATCGATCATACCTCGGTGGTACACCATTCGCAGACCAAGCGTAGAGGGTTGGGATGTGCTGTATCATGACCGCATCCACCATTGGAACAACCTAGCTTCCTTTTAGTTTTTCATGTATATACCTTTTCTATGTAACCTTGTATTTGTATTGCTATTTTTATTCCATTTATTTATTTTTTGTATTCTAATTTTGATTACATTTATATCATGCATGCATACTAATTAGTATTTGCGCGTTACAAACTAAAAAGATAATGTCAAATTTTAAAAACTTAAAATGATAATGTCAAATGTTACAAACTTAAACGATAATGTCAGATTTTACAAACTACTATGATAATGTACAAAATGTTCTATAAATAAACTGCCAACAAATCAGTATTCCCTCTTTGACGCCCACTGCCACTGCGTAAGGGCCCGTTCCATATCATCAATAGCAGCTCTGCCGGATGCAGTCATCATGTTGTCCCTCTCCTGAAAGAGTCTTTGTCCTACCTGCATCATCTTTCCCATCCACTACATACACACAACAAAATAACATGAAATTCAATAACGATATATAATAATAATAAAAAAAAAACACAACAATAAATGTTGTATGAGACATACCGCATCCATGGCAGTGGGCGGTGGCACATCATCATCATCGGCGTCGTCACCATGGTGGAGGTCTCTGATCAACCTCGGGTGCGAATACCGGCTGTACCATTCTATGTTGTGGTGGTCACACATGGGAGGCACCCTAGTTGGCGGCCTCTACAACTCCGCAGTCCATAGGCGGGCAACCATCGAAAACTGCTCCCACGTGGCAATCATGCTTTCCGGCCATTGGACGACGCACTCCTTCGACGACGCAGATCGGACCGCCTTACTAGGCCATGCTGGTGGAGGAGGGACAATTTGGACAAATCCAAGCTAGCGAAGACAGCGCTGGGGCATGTACGCCTCTACAATCTCACGATACTGAATCAATCCCGTGTAGAGGGTCCTGGGTACCCTATTACTAGGGTTCTGGCAGAAAGGCATCCAGTTCACCTTCACATTTTTTCAAATTAGTAAGATTCATATAATAAATGCATCACAATATAAAATTAGAAATAATTTATACACTTTACCTCTAAGGGAGATATCCTGTCAAGTAATAACCATATCGATCAGAGGCGGTCAACAGACTTCTTCTCGAACCGCGGACTCCACGCACGGGCACGTGGAATCTCATCCCCAATAGGAACTGGGTCGCGGTGTGGTCAAAATGCAGGAAAATACTCGTATATCCAGGTCTATAATAAAATCAGACATCTAGTGATACCTTCTGTGTCAGCCCAACTCGAGAATCCTAATTGACGATACAGATACGCCAACGTAGCCAACCCTCAAGAAAACTATCCTACTCTGTCCTGCTCACACGCGTCAACTATGTCGCGTGGCCTGAGCTTGTTTCCGCTCTTATCCGGAAACAAGGTACACTCGAGGAGAAGAAAAACATATGCAGCCAGTTGTGTGTCATGCGTCCTACGTGTAGTGGGGTGCAAACAACGCTGCAAAACGGATGCGATCTTTACACCGCCGTGATCCCAAACACCAAGTGCCCCGGTGTACAGCGCGCCCTGTCCACCGTCAATAGCTCTGCTAGTAAATCTGTTTGATCCGCATCAGTCACAACAAAAAGTCGTTTTCCCTCTGCGCGAATCCCAAGGATGGCCTTGACGTCATGCAACGTGATCGTCATCTCACCGAACGGAAGGTGGAAA